TATTCAGCTCTAGCCAAAGCTACAATGATTTAGGTTCTTTTAGTCAGAAAAGAGAGACTTCTAGAAACTCTCATGCTTTTTAACCTATTTGAGAGAATAAAATTTTTCATTTGACAATAAAACCGCCAACATTTTAACTCTCTTAGAGTCTTTATCTAATTTGGTTGTTTTAAGGTTAACGTCTTTACTCTAGAAACGAAGAGTAAAACTGTGCTTTAGACCAGGGGCTCCCAAACTATTTTGGCGACCACTTAAATACATCTAATTACTTGAGTTTATAGGTTAAAGGCACGAAAAATCAGATAACTGTTTAATTTGCAAATATTTCTAATTACTTAACGTTGCATTTTACAGCTTTAAGTTATACTTGAATCATGTTATGGATGAATAAAACAAACAGCAAGCTGAAAAAAACTAGAGGAGGAAGGCCGTTTACATTTTTATCAAAGCCTCTTCATGCCGTTCGAGAGGAATATTAATTTATTTTCTGTCTTATTTACACAATCTGTTATTAATGGTGATATTTATTAGCTAAATAACGGAAAGACTCTAGATGTTTACATCTGAGAACCCTCGCCAGCAAGAGCTGCTGCTTGCTCACCATGTTTTCCGCATAGTTACAAGTTTAGGTTCTTTATTAGCCTGTAATGCCTCATACCTGTCTATGTCTCTGAAAGGGGGTAGTTTAAGGGAATTGTTGGCCTGGCAGAACAGGCGAGGTCTTTTGTTCCCTAAAGGGGTTGGGGTTGCGATGATAGCGGAAAGGGATCAACTCTATCGCTGCATTGTAGGTTTTTGAAAGCTAAAATGCAGCAATCAGCTAAAAAAGAAGCCAAAGGAGCCCAGTTCCAAAGGAGTGGACGTGTTCCTCTGTTTCAATTTGCAAGTTTTCTAACCATAACAAGGCCATGATGGGCTACTCTGTAAAGCCTCGAACTCAACGCTATTTGTGACATTTTAACTGAAAAATCTTCCTGGATGGAAGCAAAACGTCTTTAAACTTGAAAACAAACTCCTGTGATTTGGTTTCACGTTTTTTGGAATATCTTTATCGGTATAGAGTTGTAGATTATTTTGCACATTAAAAGCATAATACCTCAAACAACCTAAAATATTGTCAAATTGAGTTATATTTGTGTTATTTATTTTGCACGCAATTAAGCTCTTAAAATAGAATCTCTGATTATGTTGAGATTGAAAATGTTTGCTCATATTAATAAATATGTTTTTATGCCTTTAACTATTGCCATTATTTATTCCAACGGTGTCAAAAATTGTATCGTGTTCCTGAATATTGATATTGTATTTTTAATTTTAGTATGGTTAAAAACCCACTACAGCTCACCTGTTGATCTAAAGCAGTAGATTTTAAATCAAACTATTTCTGACATTTTTAATTGGAAACTTTGAAACAAAGTCCAGTGGATTGTTTTTAAAGTCGTAGGGAAGCGGCCGTTCCAACCGTTGCATTTCTGACTTCTCCCCAATGGTGCCTGGCTTTATACGAATGAATAAAGTGAATGTGATTGGTCGTTTATCAAGGGGGCGGGATTGTTGTGGCAGAAAGTTCGTAAGCAAGTCTGGTTGTGGCCGGTTTCTCGGAAGCCTCTTGCTAACCAGTTAGCAACTTAGTGCTAGTAGGTTCCCAATGGGAAATTCCATTGGGACCAAGTAGCACTAAATTGGTGACTTAGAAACGACACTGTCAAGGAACACTATGGACAGCGGAAACATGCAAGAGGAGGAGAGTTTAGTGTCGGAGGTCGTGGATGAGTCTCCTCCGTCATCCATTTTTTATTTAGAGGAGGAAAGCGGGGACGCAGATGTTGTGGAAGAGGACGCCAGGGCGGCAGAAGCTTGGTTTGGTCTAGAACAGGCATCCCCAAACTCGGTCCTCATGGCCCCCTGTCCTGCAGGTTTTAGAGGTTTCCTTGCTCCAGCACAGCTGATTTTAAATGAAAGCTGATTAACAGGCTTTTGGTCTACTGCAATCATTATAACCAGCTGTGCTAAAGCAGAGAAACCTCTAAAACCTGCAGGACAGCGGGCCTTTAGGACCTAGTTTGGGGATGCCTGGTCTAGAAGGCTTCCAGCCGTACATGTTTGAGCCCTTGCCTCGCAACGCTGCCAGTTCTGTTAGCTCTACGCCTGCCGAAGACACAGACGTCCATCCCCGTGAACACTGGGACGGAACTCAATGGGAAAGTAATAAAGAATAAATTATTCTTATTTCAACCGTTGCGTATATCAGCTGCAACATAAGAATCAAGATGCTATGACTGAAACAATTAGATTGACAGATGACCGTTGATATTTGATTGGTTGAAATAAGGTGCACATGCTTATGTATAACTAAATGGCCTGCATAAGATAATGGAAAAGAAAAACAGATTTTAAGACAGGATTTTTTTTAATGGAAATATTCTACATTTTGCGACAATATGGTCTGATGAAGAGTACATTAATATACATGTTTAAACCAGAATACGTTTTTAAGAATGACCTGGATGACTGAGAATCTTAACCAGCATATACAGATAAAGCATTTGAGCTTTGATACTTTTGACAAGCCTCAGCTGCAGACCAATTTACTTCTGTAGAATAAAATGAATTAGAAATAATGAGTTTTTTGCAGAGAGGTAAAGGTTTATATCTAACCCTGGCTCGTCCTCTGAGGTCCAGATGATCAGACCATCACCTGCTTCCTCCCCTGGCTCAGAGGGGCGGGGCTGCAGCCTCTATGCTGACTCTTCATTAGTTTGAAGCTTCTTGCGGAAGCTACACCATGCACTGATCTATGCTGAAACCATGGATCTCCTTCATTATAACGTCGCTTTATTATCACCAGCGCTTGACAAATAAATTAATAAATCTCAGATTTTTATTTTATTTTTAAAATAAAATGCAGTTTTCCCCATTTCTTTCACTCACCTTTCCCGATTTTCCCTTCCAACGGGTCCTTCTTGAAATGAATCCCGTGGACATCAATGTGCGCTTCTCCCCCGGCGTTCACAGCCCAGATAACCCGCTCTGAGAGGCTGGGGCCCCCGCCGTCTGCCCAGCTCTGCTCGGACAGCAGAGACAGCACCACTGCCAGCAGCCCGGCGACGAGCTGCGCCGTGACCCGCTGCATCGCTTCAGTCTTCCCCCTGCTCCTGGGTCACAGACACGGCAACATGAAGCTAAAACTGCCCTAAAAACACCAACATGGAGGAGTCCTCCAACGTTAAAGCACCAAGGTTAGCCGGAGAGAGGAGCTAGCCAGCGTGTCTGACTGACATGGAACATGATATCCGCCAGTTAGCCACTATGCTAACATGAACAGTAGCACTGAGACGGAGATGCGGAAAATGACAGTTATACACAAACATCACGGACTGGATCTCTAGCCTGACCTGGACATTAATCCAACATGTCACCTCGTTATTAACAAATAAAACGGAGCAGCGTCCACATTGATAAGTTAGCCTGATAGTGTAGCTAACCTACCTGTCTAACCAGAAATTCTTGGTAAATGAGAGCCAGGCTGGCTAACGTAAATGCAAATGTCTCTTACCTTTTCTCTCTAACCTTTTTTTCCTGCCTTCTTTATCAGCTGTATTCCTGTTGGCACTGCGTCGCAAAGCTTCCAGAAGCCACACTGAGAGATAACCGTAGTGGTTTGCAGATACCGGCCACAGCCAGCCCCTGACTTTCATTCAATGAGTGGGTAATATTCAGAGGAACGTTCACTGCTGCTGCTGCTGCTAACTCCAGCAACGGCTGCCAGTTTGGAGGAGGCGGAACTGAGCCGAGGTTCCCCCATTACCGGCGAGTGGCGGGGCGCTCTGCCGAATCACAGCGGCCCATTACAGCTTCCAGCTCTAATAGACCCACTTTATAAACAGTATTTTCAAACAAACATAAATTAAAACAACGTTTTACTCCTCAGAAATATTCCGAAAGATGAAGATTTATCATCTTTATTATCTGTCATAATTTTGTGCTTGGTTTTCTATAACTATTTTAACATATTTTATGTTCTTATTGATTTATAAACGTTCTATGCAAAAAAGAAAATGTATATATTCTGCTTAAATGTATTTCTGGAGGTAAATATCACCCAATACTCCAACTGTCACGCCCCTTCCTTTTCCTCTAATATGGTATGGTCCAAAGTGTTGTCCAATCAGGAGAGTCCAACGCAACGCGCTGATTGCACTGGTCAGGTTTAACTAGAAAGACATGAATGGATGCAGACACTGTGCAAACAGCTATATTTTTTAAACCAGCATTGCATCCTTATAAATGTATTATTAATATTGCTGTTATTATAGGTTAAATACAAAATGACTATAGCGCATTGCTTCGCACAGGGTAAAAACTGACCCAGAAACACAATTAAAAGTGGGTTAAAGGGTCACAAAAAATAAAAGGAAAGAATATATGGAACATTTGAAATTTAGAAAGTGGCACGATTTTATAAAGAAGGGATATAAAAATGTAAATACACTGAGTTTTAAAAGTGGAATATCTCAATATTAATGGTGGAATCTAAAATAATTAGAAATTAATTCAAACATAGAGAAAGAAAAAATAAACAGAAATGAAATATAAGCCTTTGATTTTTTTTTTCTCTGATTAAAGGATAATTTGATTGAAGACATAAATCTTGTAAATATAAGAAAATGCAATTATGTTAATAACACTTTAATTAGAATAGCATTACTGTAATCTTTTGCTCAGGAAAGAGACTTCTGTATTATATATAAAAAATAAATAAATATCAAATAATCCTATATCAAATCCAAGAGAGTTTTTTTTTTAGGGGTACCGACAATATAACTGCAGTGTTGCAGCTGGTAATAGATGTCTTCCCTTTAGCTTCATCAGTGACACATGAATAATAGATACCCAGATTAGCTTTGTCCTTTCTACATGCAGACATCCCTCAATACCATTGTAACATTTTGATTTAGCCCATGTATTAAAACGCACACACCAATAGTAAAAAAAAAGGATTGAAATGTAAACGGCTTTTATTTTTCTACAGTTAACTTGCCAAAGTATTATGTTTCCTCCTTTTGTAGACAAAATTGTGCATACTAAATGTAGTAAATGTCTCTCTTTGGCATGCATAAAAATATTGTTTGACAGCACAGATGTATGGAAGGTTACAGCATACAGAGTCAGGATGATGACGTACAACATGATCAGATCCACTGGACTTTCACATGCATTTTACTAACGTATGACTTCATGCAGACCTGAACAGACCTTAAAAACAGCACTTTCTCCTCCCCAGCCTTCTGCGAATTCAGACACAAACGACAGTCTTGGCAATATTGGCATATTGCTGCAGAACACCCATCGCTGGTCAGGCCTGGTGAGCACTTTAAGAAAAGCTGCCTATCTTTTACAGCCTCTTGTTTTCCTTCCTTGTTCTTCTGCCGATCTCAGTGAATAACACATATGGAGGCATTTCAGGTATTTGCTTCGTATTAGGACCAGATTTCTTCCTTTCATGCATGTCAGACAGTGATGCCTTTTCATTGAAATGGTTTTAGCACAGTGAAAAATTACACATGGTCACAAATTACATTACATGTTTGGTATTGCCACCTTGATTCTTGGTGAAGCACCATTGCTGCACAAAGGTCCTTCAAGTACATTTCTAATACAACAGACAACGTGTGAATAGATAAACATTCAACAGTGCTAATGTTCTGTGGGTCCTACATTCAGTCTCTTATTCTAATGCCGCTGAAACATCGAAGGTGACATTTTTATAAGACACTTAGTTACACCATGTAGAGTCTGAGACAGGACACGGACAATCTATCTCACAGGAAGTTATTAAGAGAGAAATAAAGTGCAAAAAACATAAATTAGACAATCCTTTGCTATGCTACAGCAAACTCTGCCTCAGTTCAACTTTAAACGTTTTTAGGAAGAACACTTCATCGACCTAAAGTGGGAGGTGAGCCCCTCGCTCTGTAACATTCGAGGAGTTTGGATTCCAGTGTGGTTTAGATTCAAAGATGGCTCAGTAGATCTTGGCTCTTCCTTTAGCTGGACGGGGTTTCAGTGTGAAGAGGGACGCGGCGCCACATTCAGGACCGAGATCTGATTTTAGCGAGACATCATCCGTACGAACTCTGAAAGAGAAGAACAACGGCAAAGGAAAATACATATGACAACATGCAAGAAGATGCATGATGTTGCTAATGTAAACATCCTCATAAAAAGTCACTTAAATAATCCAGAATAGTTGAATAGTTGATTTATTCCTTCTGAACTGAGATGGAAATCCAGAGACAGTTAATAGGAAGATGGAATTCAATTCAATTTCAATTCAATTCAATTTGGTTTATTTATATAGCTCCAATTCACAACACAAACCATCTCAAGGCACTTTACAGATACAATTCAACCAGATCATACTGTCAAATTGATTAAAACTTTTGAATGAGAGAAAAACAAGGGAAATCTAATGAAGAAAAACCTGTTGGAAGCTGAAAACCTCATGAGACTTCAACTTCCTCTTTGAAAACTGTTCATTAGTGATTCTATTTCAGTTCTGACTGAGCTGAGCTGTGTTGCAAAGCAAAATAAGCGGATATGGGAATCTGAGACGCTGTGAAAACTGATCTAAAATAACTAATATTTTCCTGAAATAAGTTTATTTCCCCTAAATTTGAGCAGGAAAATAACACGATCTGACAGTGGAAAGATAGTTTTTGCTATAAAAATGAAAAATTACATATAATTTACTTCAGATAAGTTACTGGAGACATTGTTTCTTATTTCAAATGCAAATCATCTTATTTCATTGGCATATAGTCTTATTCAACTGCTCAATTCAAGGGAAAATACACAAAAATGTGACATATAAATTAATTTATTTCGAGTGTAAAGACTTTAATCTGTAGATGCTGTGAAAGATAGTTCTATAAACCACAGTTTTCAGATTTTAATGTACAAAACAATATACAAATACAAACTATGGATCATTTCCAACTATCCAAGACTTTATTTTGCTCTCTTACATAACATCCCAGCTAATTACACACTGATGCTTCTAGTTGTCCCGGGAAAGAATGGGAGAAAGTTCAAGATGTGTAAATAAGTTACTAACTGATATTTTACCTTCAAAGTCAACAAGTCCATCCCCATTTAAGTCCACGTCCTTTAGGATGTCTTCTACCTCTTTAAGACCCACCTGAAAAACAGTAAAATAGGTCAGAAAGATTGAGTAGAGCCAGACAGCACACACACACACACACACACACACATACACACACACACACACACACACAGCGCCACACAACCACAGCTCTCTGTCTTACTTGTTGGCCCAATAACTTCCTCATTGCATCTCTTAGCTCAGTGGTGCTTATGGCGCCGTCCCCGTTTGTGTCAAACTGGGAATAAGGAGCAAAGGAGAAACTTTAACAGCGTAAAAAGAAAAACATAGATTACTAAAACGCAGACATGGGCAATGTGGAATCAACAAGTCATCTCCATGTCATGTATTTAATCTACCCAGCCAATTAACCAGGTGAGTCCAATCTGCACAGGTTAATTCACGGTGAAGATTGGACTCACCTGCTTCAGTGGCTGGGTAGAACAAATACATGACATGGAGATGACTTGTTGACTCCACATTGCCCATGTCTGCTAACACGTCACTAAACCTTACCTCCCTAAACGCGTCCTTTAACTCCTTTATCCCGATCATGTCTGCAGTTTCAGCGAGGAGTTTTGGGCCCATTAGCTCCACAAAATCGTCAAAATCAACATGGCCGCCAACTGGTTGGAGAATGCATCAAAACAATCCCTGTTAAATTTCATGTAATGAAACATGAAGGTTGAGGTCGTTTGGGAGCTTTTAATAATGCAGTTCTGTTATGGTGGGATGCTTTTGGAGGCACAAACAGAAATTAGTTAAAAAAAGTAAATTAAATTCAAAATTAACTGTTCACTAAATGACTAGGCAATTAATTGCATTTGTAATATAACTGCAATTTAACAAAATGTAATTTTCAAATCTTAGAGGCACTGATGATAATCATACTATATTTAAGATGAGAAAGAGAGGACATTTCTCCCTCCACCCCTTTAGGTGTTTTTAAAATGTTTGAAGCGGGATTTTGCCACACAGAAAGGTAGAGGGAGTTGCAACTAGCTCGCCAATCCATGCATGCAAGTAGAAGTAAACACTTTTTCACACAATGGTTACAGTGAAGTCTTGTTACTATGTTTCCTGTGGAAGCAAGCTGTCATAAAACCAAAAGCCAGAAGTGAAACATCTACAAGTTTGGGGTCAGAGAAAAGGAAAATCTAAATAAAATCGCAAACGCAATTTTGCTTCAAAATAATTTCAATTTCGATTTTTGCCAAAAACGTTTATCCATAATTTACTGTGGATTTTTTAATATGTAATTGAGTGTGAAATTATTTCATCACATAATATCAGGGAAAGATAACTTGAATCAATCCAAAACCTTATTGCGAATATAACTATAATTTTATTTATCAATAGAACAAAACAAGCTAGCTACAAATAACAAAACAAAAGAAACTTTAGAGTGTGTTGTACTACCATTAACTTCTGGCTGGCTTACACTTTATATAAAATAGATTGAAAGCCAAAACTTTGATAAGGTCACCTTCATTTTAAGGTGGACTTGCTGATGTTCCAATAAATATCTTTTTAATAAATTTCTGCCTACTTTTAGCTGTCAGATTGGTTCTGTTTAAGTAATTTAGACCTGGATCTGGCTGTGAAACTGAACCAAAAACTGTGGGTAATCATCCACAGTTTCTCATATTATTTTGGTTAATAAAGTATATTGTCCTATACAAAGTTTAAATTTACTCAGGTAATATCTGTCTGGTAATAAATTTGATCGATGTATTTAAAACATCTCATCAAACACCAAACAAAGACGTGAATACTTTTAACACAGTACAAATAATCCCCATAATACTGGATTAATGGTTCTAAACTGGGAATAAAGGCACTTGTAGACTTCAAAACCTTCCTGACATAATAGACTTATAAGAAACCTTGGATATTCTTTAAATTGTTTGGTTTACTGACTCAGACTTGAGGTATGGTGAATAAAAGCCTCACACGGATGGAGTGAGACTGCCCTCATGTTATCTAACGCCATCCACTCTACAGCCAGTTTGGTTGTTTGTGTAAGATCATCGTCTTGTTGGGGAACCAAACCATGTCCAAAAGATAACCATCTGTGTGTTGAGCTTGGGCTGACTTAAACAGTGCAAACTGGTGGAGAAACACTCAGCATGATGCTACCACCTATGTGCTGAACAGTTTGCAAAGCAATATCTGGTTTGAAAGTCTCCAACCCCTTAATGATTGTCTTCATGGCTTAATGGCTCAACCCATACCGTCTCCATAAACCTTTTCGTTTACATTGTTTATGTGGGCATCTCTATGTTTAAATAAAAGGACAATGATCCCAAAATTACATCGAAATAAAGCAGGCTGACATCAAACTTCTGTAACTGCACAGTTGAGAACGTACTCGTACTTGTACTCATACTCCTAGTCATACTTGTAATGTTTTGCCTATCCAAGACCGAGTCATGGGGGCAGCACTCAGCGGGGACACCCAAAGACCCAATTGTCATGGTCTTCTTTCTATTGTGCTTTACTTTGCTCTATGTTCCTAGTTTTATTGGTTTAATTCCTTTTTTGTTGTAATTTCTAGATTTATGTTAGTTCTCATGTTTTTCTGTTTCCTTTCCCCTTGGCTCCCTCGTTGTCTCCTCTCACACCTGCTCCTTGTCAGCTCGTTAGCCTTCCCTTTGTCTCTGTCAGCTATATATGCTCTCACTCTTTGTTGGTTCCTTGTCTTTGCTGTCCTCCCATGCTGTTGTCCAACTACCTCGTCTCTCCCTGGCTCCTTGTGTTTGGTTTCCCAAGATGTCTCCATAGTTCTGGTTTGCTTTTCATTATTAGTTGGATTTTTGCATTCCTGCCTTAGCTTACTGTTTTGCCCCATTAAACTGCTAGAAATCTCCTCAGCCGCTCTGCCTCTGCATTTGGGTCCTCCAAAACACAACCAAACCCTGACAGAAATGGCTCTACTCCGCGCCTCTCCTGGATGGCAGAGGTCCTCGATCTATTTCTATGGTTATGCTCAGCCACCCTGCATAGGAAGCTCAGTTTGGGTGATTTTATCCCGGATCTCATTCTTTTGGTCATGACCCTGATTTCATCACTGTAGCTCAGAGTAGCAACATAGACCGACCAGTAAATCAAGAGCTTTGCCTCAAGGCTCAATAATTTAAATAAAGTTAACATTTTGATATTTTACCCTGAAAAGTTTTCCGGTATTCAGAGCGAACGATGCGAGAGGCTCGGTATTGGCTATAAAAGGCCATGTGGTCAATGTGGTTCTTCCGTACAGGAAATCTACCCTGAATTACCTTTGTCAGTACCTATATAACTGAGCCTCTATGTACACTTTTGCTAATAAGTGCATTTCCCATTGATTTAAGTCATTGACCTTTTTTGTGTAATGATCCCATCCGTGAGCTAACTGCATTTTTAAAAGCTTTTTATAATCAAGCTGTTTATGATGACTGTATTGTATACAGTCTGACAGTATACACTCTGACTGGATCTGTATACAATACATACATACTAACTGTTAGGAGCTTACGGTTCATGTTTATCTGCTGACTCAGTTCTATCAGCTCCATTTCGGTCGGCATGTATCCCATGGTCCTCATACAGTTTCCCAGATCTTTGCAGCTTATGAAGCCATCCTTGTCTTTATCAAATTCCTTGAATGCATCTCGCAGCTCTGATAAAAAAAAAAAAAAAGATAATGTAATACTAATAGTATGGCCCTGTGATGAATAGGTGAAAACATAAAAGTAATTGATCTTACCGTCCATTTCTTCCGGTCGCAGCTCTCTGTCCTGAAAAACAACACATTTTACTAATGGATGCTGAACATTACATGATCACACACTAATGAAAAATAACAAACATAATAATGGCAGTAAAATACACTTTATTTGTCAACTTATTCCATGCAGCTATCATTTCCCAACCTTCCAAGGAGCCTCAGCTACAGCAGCCTTAACGGGAAGGAAAAGTTAGTGGCCGGATTAACTGAGTCACATCGTATTAACAAAAGTTTAGAGGTGCTGATCTCTATCAGGCAGTACCAGGAACCTCAACGCTGAGCTTCAGAGAGGAATGTGTCTGTTTCTGTTTTCTTTTGTGTGTCTGTATACCATAAAAGCCACCTTTAAAGGACCGAGATTGCAGCAGATATTTCCCAGAGCGCTCAGGGGTTAACGGCGGGAGTGAAGAGACGTCTAAACACAAAGTTCTGACGTCAGGCCCAGAGCACATACTGACCAGAACCTCTGACACAGAAAACACAGCCCAATCAGACCAAAACAAAGTGGCAAACCCAACACCATCAACGGTTTCTGGGTCAACCCATCGATGCCATTTCATCAACCTTAACAGGTCAGGGGAGCATGTCCTTGGCTCAGTCAGCTAAGCAAAAGCTAAAGTAAACAGATAAATAAATGCATTTTATCTGTGTACAAACTTCCATCACTAACTCAATTAGTAAGCTTGCTCAGGACCCACTGTCCTGCGTGTTTCATGTTTTTCTTCCTCTGTTGAACTGGCTGCACAGGGATGTAGTTTGTATCACTGTTGTCTTGCAGTAAGAAGGTCTTTGGTTCAAAGCTGGCTCTTTCTACAGGAAGTTTGTCCAAGCATGTTCTCCTGAACATGTCCGACAAATGGACAAAGAATCCATGACTGTTGGGTTGATTGGTGTCTCTAAGTTGCCCTTAGTTGTAAGTGTGGGTAAGTAAGTTTGGACACCCACACTAAGTAAAGACCCATCTAAAAATTGGCGGAATGTTGGTTCTGAGGACTGGAGTTGCCTTAAAGTAAATCAGTTTGTAAATGGGCAGATCACTGATGTTTGAGGATGTTTTGAAAAACGCATTTACTGAACCAAGTGTAGCTCCAAACAAAAACAACTCTGAGCTTGGCTTTCCAAAAAAGGAGACGGTACATATTTGATGTCCACTTAGAGACTTGTAAAAAGTCTTTAAATTAGTATCTTTGAGGGATAGCATGGAGCAGGCATCTATATAAGGAAGCTTTAGCCCTCACTGCAGCTCTCTGGAGTCAGATTCCTGACCTTGATGGCTTAGATACAACCGCCCCCCCTCTGCCTGCTACCCATACTTCATTAGGATCATTAAATGACTACATCAATGCCAAATAGTTGTTTGGACGTCAGTCCAGAAAAAAGGCTCTTTCTGTCCAACCATAATAAAGTCAGAGTTTACTAAACTCTACCAGGACATTAACTACTCAGATGGGACTAAGTCAGAGTTTTTTACTCCAGTTTGGTTGTTGCAAAATAAGCATAAAAAAAGTACCTTTTTCCCTTTCGTTAACTACGGTATAGGACTAATGATGCTCTGGGCCACTGAAGGAGGAACATGGAATTTGCATCACAGGTCCTTCAAGAAGTGGAAAAGGAGAAGGTTGGCACCATGGGTGGCAAGGACCGTATCCCCAGTAATTTTGTTAGAAATAAAAATTTTAAAAATTTCTAAGATCTTTTCCCACATATTTATGTTACTGAAATCTATTTTTTTTGCTGAGATTATGTAATTGAAATAAATACATTTTAAATTTTTACATTTATTCAAAGGCTTTTTACACTTCTAATCAGAGGTTAAATTAAATTTACTGAAAGATATAGAGGAACAAATTCTGCGGGAAGTAACAAAGTGAAGCACGGTGGTGGATGGGGAATGCTGAGGGCTTGTTTTGACGCCTTCAATCCAGGCTTCCTTTAGGTCATTGGGTAGATGATGATCTAAAGCAAAGTATTTTTGTGTTGAAGGCTGACAGTAAGTCAGTCTGCCAAGAAGCTGATTCTTGGCCAATATGGTGTGTAGTAAAACCTTTTTCTTTTATCCAAAACAGCTACAGATCAGTGTGATGGGAGAGTGAATGAAGGCAGGCTGTGGGTTGTTTATCAGCAAGGCAAATTAGTTTGGGTTTATGTAACTTTAGATAAAGCGAGACAAACTAGTTGTTTTCAAACCTTAAACCTAAAGACAGAGTGTAGTCATTTCGATATTGAAAGGTCTATTATACATCTGACAATGTACATTTCTAATACTGTAGCTTCTTCTGGAGTAAGCAAAATGCCAGTTTGATATGACGACAGCAGAGAGAATCATGTTTTGCAAAACTTACGTACAGCCTGCCTGCACTTTGCCATGCCTTTACCCAGGAAGACATAGTTTCGTCCCAGTACGTTGGTCACGACAATGCAGTTTTGTGTCACGGAAACAACGGAGTCCCGAAAAGGCTCAACATACCCTGATTCCTCATAAGACAGCACAAGCCTGAGCCTCCTCTCAGCATCCTGGAGCATCTTTCCACAGGTGTGCAGAGACAAGGGAGATTACAATTAAGACAGTTGCTGCGAAGATCTATAAAGAACATAGGTCGAAGTTGTGCAAAGTGCAGCAAATACATAAATACGCAGCAAGTACAAAAAGTACCGTAAGGACAAAAATGAGTGCAAAGGAAAAAAACCTGAAAGAAGCAAAAAAAGTCTGCAGTAACAGAGACGTTCCAGTCCAATAGGGGGAGACAGTCATCAATTCATGATAGACATTGCTTCAAATTAATGTCCATGAAACAAATCCTTATTCGAAACATAAACAGGATGTCCGCCGTCCAGTAAAGAGCGCCATTGTTCATTCTTAAGGAAAGCCTTCAAAGCTCTACTAACAGCACAGAGCATCCACCATTAATACCATATGGTAAATAGTCTGACAGTATGTCAGAAAGACATACCATGTCTTTAAATGATACCTTTACATCTCTGTATATTGGAAATGATAAGCGTCTGACATAGGTTATTCATCTTTTTTAATTAGTAACCTTAAATTCGTAAATAGTATCAGTTATAGTTTTATTTTATCTTATAAATATGTTTATGTTTGATCATGTTAGAAAACTTATTTTATGTTAATTCATTCGGTATTTAAAGGTAAAGTGGAGTTTTTTTGCGAATTTTTGAAAATTCTCTCAACATGCACAACCCTGTAACCACTCTTGAGAGGGAACGTCTATTAAATGCGTGCGAGAGCGTGCACAACACACCATTTCTCCTCGTGAAACACCCTGTTTAAAGGTTGCTGTTTGCATTGCTCATACAACTTACTTTCCTAAAGAAGATTTTTGATTTTTTTCCATTAACTCAGACTCACCACCGGTAAGTGAAAATGGGGACGAGCACGTAGGAGGGCCGTAATAAAAATAAGCTGACTTCTATTAATCTCACACTGGAGAAACTTATCTCTGCATTAAACCCATCACCATGGTAAGCAGTGTGCTGCCATTGTGTGGCGCACGGGGTGCATTGTGGGGATAGGGGTCTTGTTCAGGGAGCCAGAGTGGCAGTCGTTCGGAGTGGGGCTCGAACTCAAAAGCTCTGCATTCCAAGCTCAATGCCCTGATCACTTAGCCTCGTGAGACCATCCTGATCTCGCGAGCTTTCAAGGTTTCACTCGCATATCAGTCTGGAGACTCTCCGTTAAAGAAAATTTGGAGCCGTTCACCAAACGAACGTCCAATCAGCGTTGGCTTTGAGGCGGGTTGAGGTGTGACGCAACGAGAAGCGCGACAGTTCAGTCTAAAGAACATGGCGACTTCAGCCGATGAAACTAGCGTTAGCGTGGCTATCGAGCAAGTTTTATCGGAATTACAGAGTATTTCTTCACTGAAAGAAGAGCAAAACACTGCTCTGGAGGCTTTTCTCAGAGGAAAAGATGTTTTTGCTCTTCTCCCGACTGGTTTCGGCAAGAGTTCAATTGGCTCCTCTTCGTCGTCACTCTGTTAGTACGTCATATGCTTCGTTGATCTGATTGGTTTATTTGGCCCGTCTATCACCAACATAGGCCAATCAGCTAACCAGTATTTTCGCCCCTTCCCAAAATTACTTCAACGGAAGGTTTCCAGATGGATATGCGGAGCAAATCCATCTGGCAGAGTCAGGTTAATGACCACTATGCCACCACTCCCCCACAACATAAGCATATCACCAGAATCATTGACAATTAGGAGGACCACTTATCTTGATGATCCACCTGGAAAAAGAACATCCTCCACTATACCTTTAATACAGTCGGTGCCATAAATGATTAATGTTAATATATAGCCTATACTAATGTATTTGTAAAAAATATTTGGCCCTTCATGTTGTGGACAGATCCTCTCAACACAAAAGGTTTTTGAGAAAATTAATGCCTATCAATCAATCGATCAGATTAGATTGATAACTTGCTTTCCTAATGTCTTCAATAAAAGGTCTGGTCCCACATAAGTTGATTGTCTCCCCCTAGTGGTTTGGAGGACATTATGTGGTGCTAGTTTGCAGCTTTAAACAACATTCATTTGCTTTTGCTACTTCAAGCATTTCCTCTTTGCATGTGTTTTGTGTGTTAGCATACTTGTTAGCATATTTTATCCGTTTTGTTGTCACAGTGCATTTATACTTTGCTGCTCTCAGTTTTCGGATTGAAGTATTTATTTTTTACAACATTTGTACTTTGCCTATGTTTTTACATGCTAGTCTACTTTTTGTGATTGCTGATTTACAGATCTTGGTCCCTAGTAGTTAGGTAGAGTGCTTTGCAAAAGTATTCACAATCTTTGAACAATTTCTCAGATTCAAACCAGAAATTTTAATGCATTTTAATAATATCTTATAAAATAAAGCAAAGCTAACGGCGCATACATTTGAAGAAGGAATCTGATTTCTAATGATGAGGTGAATCAAAACAAATAAAAAGTGATCTTATATTTTTATCTAAACTGTTATATTTAAAGGAGAGGTCAGATAAGCAAGGAATAATCAATGGATCATTATCTATACCTAAAACTAATACGTTTGCGATGATTTAAGAATTTAGCGTTAGTCAGTAAAAAAATAATAACAATAATTTTTGTTGGGTTCACGGAGTCTGGGAGCGGACATTTTTGCCCAAATATAGTAACCCCTCCCTCCTGCCATCTTCCAGCAGTGACGTCACGGTGCGGTAAGCCTAGCGCCATTCTCCCCGCTTTACAAGCAAAATCAATGGGAACTACTAGACACATCTGCAATCAACAACAATTATTGAAGATTTCCAGAGGACTTCACCATTGAAATTCACCAGAGCTATAGTGAAACTGACAATGCCAACATTTGGAAGTAGAATGTTTTCGAAATTACTTGGATAATAGCGCGTTGTGACAAACACCAGATACAGCACTGGGACTTGATCAACAGCCGATACCGCACAGTGACGTCACAAACCACCAGTAGGTGGCAGTAGTGTTCTTTGACAAACATGGATGCCTCCAGTAAAGCACATTTAAATGAAAAATACTCTTAATAAAAAAAACGTATCATTTATTGAACAATATGTAAAAATTTCATATTTAAAGTACTTTCAGAAGCTTGAATTCGGAATATGAGCGGACTTTTCCTTTAGCTCCGGAAGAAATTGTAACTGTTATCAACAGGTACATCTTTTACTCTACAACTCTGATAATCTGTGAAGATCGCCGATGCTAAAGAGTTTGTAGAAGGATGTGAAAACAAGGAACACTTGACATTTTTTATTCTCTGTATGATCAAATAGACCAAATAGTGATATAGATACAAAACCATAGGACCTGCAGCGGTATTTTAATTGAAAAGAGCTCTGAATCGAGAAGCTGAAGACTTCAAATAACACCTTAAATATTTTCATAGCTACTTCAAATTAGTGCAAATTTTTTTCTAAAATCCGTCCTGAATACACAGATGGTTGCTGCTGAAATATATATTGTGAAAAAGTTCAGTGGGTTATAGGAACACTTTTGCAAGGCACTAGTTAGTTTAACTTTGAGCTGCCTTCGTTCTTCAAGAGGAAAATGCAAAGCAGCTTATTTATCTTTATGAAATCTGTGCTTCAGGTTTTAAAAGCCGAACTTCTAAGTCTCACTGTGTGTCCCTACAAGAGAAACACTGTCTGAGCAGAAAGTTAACCTAAATACAGGTATAAAACAAACATGTTGCCAACTTTCCACTCATTATTCATAACAGTTTACTTTATTCTTATACAAACTGGCACCTTACACCTGTACTCTGTCGCAGGAAGAGTAAACAAACTTAGAGGGAGAGAAGAGGCCAGCTAAACACCCGGGAAACAGCTCACAATTACCAAAGGGATGCTGTGCAACCAAAATTTCTAAATATCAAACGTTTCATTAGAAAATGCTGCAACTATTTGCTCAAACCTGAAACCGATAATTTATCAATCTGCAACAATCCCAGATCCCTTACCGTTCTGAGAGGCCAGTCTAAGCAGTTTCCCATTCCAATCGAAAAAAGAGGCAATAAAAACGACCATGAGGACTTTCTATCCTTCAGATTTGTTTGTCGGATTTTGAGAGGAAAACAAAATTTACTTTTAGAAAGACCCATGAAGACTTGGGTGCTAACCTGTCCCTATGATAACAATCTACTATCCAGAGCAGTGAGAGCAACAGCATTGGGGGGGGACAAAGCAGAGTGAAGTAGGGGAGAAGGGGAGAGAAAGCATGAGAGGGAGGGCTGAGGGTGGAAAGATAATAATGCCTATTAAAGGAAAAGGGACCTCTGAAAACATTTCATTCAGATGTCACAACAACCACGCTGTGGATTATTCTGTAAACAGTGAGGATACCTCGGCGCAGGCTGACGGAGATCAAAAACAGAGGGAAAAATGCTGCATTTGATCACCAAATGTGCCTCTGAAGCCTAATCATTGTCACACAGATTCAGCTGTGGAAACCCAGCCAAGGCAAGTTTCGGAGAACATTTTGTTACATTCAAGCCGTCCTCACCTGGACACAAAACAAGCGGTTATTTCCAGCCTCTCTGAAGGCAGAAGACCTTCTGCGCACGTCTTTGTTTTAGGCTGTGATGCACGTCATCCTCTGCTCTCTGCAGGTGATGACAAGGTGACTCTGACCTCCAAGCCAGCAGCCACACAGCAATAAGACAAGCAAGTGGGAGAAATATCGCCTGTGTGTTTATCCCAGTGACATTCATATCCAAACTGACCACACGTGTTTGTATTTATACAGAGTGAATATCATGCTCTTTTTTAACACCTCCTGCAATTAATACAAGTTAATTAATATAAGGGTCCTCTGCTGCCTAATGAGCGTCTGTTTATGCATACCTGACGAGCCGCTCCTGTGGAGTCTTTGTGTGGCTGTGGAGCTGCTTTCTGCATCTCCGTCTTCTAAATTCCTCACCGACGACTGTAGGTTTTTTCAACATAACAAAAAAAACTGCCTTGAGGTCACGCTAATGTTTTCCCAGAATGCTCCCAGGCTGACTCATGGCTGAGCTGTACAAATGGATTTTCATACTATGAGTATCAGATGGCTTCCCTCGAGGGATGAGCAACATGTTTTCTTTATGATTGAGAGATTTTTATTTCGCCAACAACAGTGCCTCTTTTTATTAGGGTTTCATGTGACGGACCAAAATAAAGCAGCTTATGATTGGGAAATGGAGGAGAGATCATCTGAGGTTTTGAAAAATCTTAAAAGTGTGGCTGGTGACCTTACTTACCCCTTTTACTGTGATAACCTGCACTGCAAAAACAATCTGAAAATAAGTAAAAAATTCTTAAATCAATTGTATTTACCCTTATTTTGAGCAGGTAAATAAGATAGTTTGCCAGTGGAATGAGTATTTTTACACTTAAAATAAGATAATTAGATAATATGCACTTGAAATAAGAAAATGCAATATTTTTTTTATTATTTTATTTAAGAAAAAATGACTTATTTAGATTTACATTTTTTGCATTGTGGGCGTAATATATTCTTAGAGGCCTTATCATTTTATTTAGTACAATGAAGCATTAGGGCCAGGGTATTAGGGTTTTCTATTATGAGAATAAAGTCGTAACATTACGAGAATAAAGTCATAAAATTACGAGAATAAAGTTGCAAGAAGAATAGTCATAAAATTACAAGAATAAAGTCGTATTTTATGACAACTCCTACACAACTCCCTAAAATGAGGAATTTCAAGCATTATGTGAAGTTATAATTGACATAATGCATCGGTTTGACAAATAAGATAATCTTTTAGCACCAGCATCAAATTGGGCAATATGTCAAAGTGGACTCTGGCCCTAATACTCCGTGGTAAGATAGAGAGAGATGGAGAATGGGAGGCAGATCTTTTAGTTATACTACTTTTAAGGCTAGGCTTAAAACTTTCGTTTTTGATAAAGCTTATAGTTAGAGTGGCTCAGGTTATCCTGAGCTATCTCTATAGTTATGCTGCTATAGGCTTAGACTGATGGAGGACATAGGGACCCCTTTTTCATCATTCTGTTTCATTCTATCTCTATTCTCCCACTCTGCACAATCTGTTAGTTCAATCTCTAACGTTCTGCTTTCTCAGCTTTATCTCACAGTAGCTTCATCTGGTCTGTTCCTGTTTGGCTGAATTTAATGGATAGAACTTAATGCGAGGCCAAACAACTCGTTATTAGCTTTGGTGTTGGAATGGCCTAGTCCAAGCCCAGACCCAGATTCTAATGAGAATCTGACTGTGGAAATATATTTTATAAAGAATATTTATCAAAAATGTCTGTCAAAAAGTTTAAAGCTGGGGGGGGGGGGGAATAAAACAACCCATCACAGGATGAACATATATACAAATAACATTTTTAAATTGTTTATAATGTTCCCATCCAGATTTCCATAATAAAATCTCAGTATAAAGATAAAAGCTTAAGGTTAAAGCATGAATATTTATAACAAATGTTTTATTTTACAAAACAGGGTATGTAAATCCCTTCTGGATAAAATCTAATTACCAAACATGGAAGTGAGTAAACCTTGACCTCTTTGGAATGCACCCAGTAAACACATTATCCAGGTTTAAGGCTTAAGCTGGACCGCTCTGAGGATTTCTCAACCTGCAACCATAAAGCGCTCCTTTCAAAGCAGCCAATTTATGCAGAATGACAGCAGAGATAAGAGAGTGGCTCATAAAGCTGCACTCCTTCTCCTCTGTATAAATACCTCTGGCAGCTCCAAATAGATGCTCCAGCAGGAACAGCCTTTAAACAGAAACAATCACTGCAGCTGAATGCTGTGGGAGAACAAGTCCACACTGAGATCTTTTTAGTTTTTAATAATTTTCTGCTTTTCCCCACAGGGACATTAGCACATCAGAGATTTCCACCTCTGTGGTCCTGAAGCATATTTCTGTCCTACTTCAAGAGCGGCTTGATTGAGGAAACCTGTAGGAGGTACAGCTCTGTGTTTTCCAAATTACATAAGAAATAAAAGGTGAAAGGAGCTCTTTTGTCTCCAAAATTGTCCAGTAATGAGTGTTTGCAGACAGCAGCACAGAGGAGGCCAGAAAAAACAGCAGAGTGAGGAGACTCAGGGAGAATTGGGGATTAATTATAGATGGTGTGATTCTCTGAATCTAAATGTGGATTTGGGGCATCACTGTCACAACTTATCAGATCATTTAGACTTTCTATTATTCATTTAAAATGATTATAAGCTTTTTTTTTTTTTTTTACCTGCCCGAACAGGGAGTTAAGGATGCTCCTCAAATTGATGTCGGATGCGGAGGAAGCAGCGCTGGACCTCCTGGAGCGGCGGGACGACCTGTTGGACGGCGGGACAGGGGAGCAGGAGGACGGGGAGGGACTGCCGAGCTGACCGCCGCCGCCGGCCGTGCTGCTCCTCTTCCGGTCCCTGGGCTCACACAGCGGGGCCCTGTCATCGGTGCTGTCCGAGAGGGAGGGCAGCCTGCGGGCGTGCGCGTGACAGGGGAGGTGATGCTCGGGGTCATCTAGGTGGTGGTGCTTCCTGCGGTGGTGGTGGTGGTGGTGACGGTGTGCGGGTTTGGGGTTCACCTCTCTGTCCGCCGGCTGAGGGGAACCTTGGGGCTTGGGTTTGCCCCGTGCGGCTGCGGCATGGCTCCCCTCCTGGCCGCCGGCCGCGGAGGGATGGCACAGGGGTCTGCGCGCGCTGACGTCGCCGTCCGCCGACCAGAAGGAGTCGTCTGGTTTTCCGCTGCTGTGGAGCGGGGCGGGACGGTAGTGGTGCTGATGGTGATGCTGACCTCTCCGGATCTCTGATGTCTGATCGGGGAGGTGTGTCGATCTCCTCGATGGTTTGAGTAAAGATGTGGTGGATTCAGATTTGGGGAAAGAGGCGCTCATCGCGGCGGATCCGATCTATTCCGCCTCCGCTGCTCTTTCATCCACATCATCTTCTCTCTGTATCATAACTATGTTTTTATATCTTCTATCAATGGAGACCTTGTGCTTTCAGCTGAGCTCCAGCTCCCCACCTGACCGCGGTGCGGTATCCAGCCAGAGCGCGCTCAGGCAGAGGAGGAACAGCGGCTGCGTCGCTGCAGAGCGCGTCACCTGTTCATTAAGGTTTTATTTGACACTGACGTGGCCAAGGACACCCAGCAGACCTGAGAACTTTTAATTAAAAAAGCAGATGAAATTGCTCCGATTTTCACTGAGCAAAGACGTCACAGGTAACAACCTGATCAATAAAAGATCAAAGCACATGGACTCATTGTTTTCTCTTGATTTTATGTCTCAATCAAACACAAAGGAGCGCGTTATTGTGACATTGCAGCTAAAGGAAACCAACATGTATTTTGTAGATTGTAAAAATTCAATTTCCAGCCCTGATTCTCAGCTGGATTTAGAAATTCGACATCATAATAATCTAACAAATGAATAAGATCAATTCTAACCAGTCTGTATTAGATCGGTTCTTTGTTGGAAGAGGACATTCTACCTTGTTTATTTCTTACCTCACACATTTACCTTTCCCTGCTGAAGAAAAACACAGCATGATGCAGCCACCACCATGTTTCATTCAAATTTGGTTTCTATCAGAGGACATTCTCTCACATTTCCTTTGTCTTACAGTCCTGCATGTTTAAGATGTGCCTCTGCCTCCAAATCATCCATTACCTCCTCAGTATGATGCCAGGTGCTTCAGAGGCAACTTAATCAGCCACTGAGGCCTAAAGGATCAGGGTTAGGAGTCACTGCCCTACATGGCTTGTGACAGTTTGCTTCATTCGACTTTGTCAGGCGTCCTTTCAAAGATTTTTTTAATTTGAGCTTTGAAAGCTTGCAGTACCTTCAGAGTATTGGCTGCCACCAATAACTTAAAAACTCTTAATCTCAATACCTTTGCAGTGAGCGACAAGCTGCCTGTGACACACTGCTGCGGGGAGTATAACCTGCCCTTGATATTCACCTGTATATTATATTCGGTATCTAAAAATTTAGTTCATAACACTAGTGATCTATATATTATATTCATTATTTATAATAAGTATTCATCTCTATACTCATTCAGTAGAAAACCCATGTCCTGTATTTATGGAACCATTATTTATCCTGCTCTTGCTGCTATTGCACTGGTTAGACCTAAACTGCATTTCGTTGCCTTGTACCTGTAGATGTGTAATGACAATAAAGTTGAATCTAATCTAATCTAATGTGATCATCCATCCATTAATTTTCCTTCCCTACTGGGATGGTGAGGGGTGCTGGTGCCTTAATCCAGCTCTCTACGGGCGAGAGGCGGGTTGCACCCTGGACAGGCCGCCAGTCCATCGCAGAGCCTTATTTCATCATAATTTATGGGTTTTGGTCTTTCTGGTACAGGCATACACTCACTGGCCACTTTATTAGGAACACCTGTCCAACTGCTCGGTAACACTTAATTTCTAAGCAGCCAATCACATGGCGGCAACTCAGTGCATTTAGGCATGTAGACATGGTCAAGACAATCTCCTGCAGTTCAAACCGAGCATCAGTATGGGGAATTTAGGTGATTTGAGTGACTTTGAACGTGGCATGATTGTTGGTGCCAGAAGAGCTGGTCTGAGTATTTCAGAAACTGCTGATCTACTGGGATTTTCACGCACAACCACCTCTAGGGTTTACAGAGAATGGTCCGAAAAAGAAAAAACATCCAGTGAGCGGCAGTTCTGTGGGCGGAAATGCCTTGTTGATGCCAGAGGAGAATGGCCAGACTGGTTCGAGCTGATAGAAGGGCAACAGTGACTCAAATAACCACCCGTTACAACAAAGGTGGGCAGAAGAGCATCTCTGAACGCACAGTACGTCGAACTTTGAGGCAGATGGGCTACAGCAGCAGAAGACCACACCGGGTGCCACTCCTTTCAGCTAAGAACAGGAAACTGAGGCTACAATTTGCACAAGCTCATCGAAATTGGACAATAGAAGATTGGAAAAACGTTGCCTGGTCTGATGAGTCTCGATTTCTGCTGCAACATTCGGATGGTAGGGTCAGAATTTGGCGTCTACAACATGAAAGCATGGATCCATCCTGCCTTGTATCAACGGTTCAGGCTGGTGGTGGTGGTGTCATGGTGTGGGGAATATTTTCTTGGCACTCTTTGGGCCCTTTGGTACCAATTGAGCATCGTTGCAACGCCACAGCCTACCTGAGTATTGTTGCTGACCATGTCCATCCCTTTATGACCACAATGTACCCAACTTCTGATGGCTACTTTCAGCAGGATAATGCGCCATGTCATAAAGCTGGAATCATCTCAGACTGGTTTCTTGAACATGACAATGAGTTCACTGTACTCAAATGGCCTCCACAGTCACCAGATCTCAATCCAATAGAGCATCTTTGGGATGTGGTGGAACGGGAGATTCGCATCATGGATGTGCACCCGACAAATCTGCGGCAACTGTGTGATGCCATCATGTCAATATGGACCAAACTCCCTGAGGAATGCTTACAGCACCTTGTTGAATCTTCTAAAACGAAGAATTGAGGCAGTTCTGAAGGCAAAAGGGGGTCCAACCCGTTACTATCATGGGGTACCTAATAAAGTGGCCGGTGAGTGTATATGTAGCTTTAAACTAAGTCCACGGTTGTTAGATGGCATCCTACTATTACCTTTGCTAGAGAGCAAAGGTAATAGTAGGATAGTGAAACTCACCCATTCTAAGTCCTTCCTGTTCTGTGGCAAGCAACACCCATGCTGCACTCTCACACTGAGACACAAGATGCTTTACATCCACGCCCTGCAGGACCAAGGCTTGACTTATGCAGCATAGGATAAGTTTTGGCCTAGTGAGGAGCAGTTCGATGTGCTCTGAGAAGGTTGCAAGTACCTATTTGATCCCCACAGCCTGCATTCTGGGACTCTGAGCAACACCCTTAACCCTGCACTGCTCCCCGGGCGCTGCACAATGGCAGCCCACTGCAACCCAAGGGAATAGGTTAAATGCAGAGATTGAATTGTGGGACAAGGACAGTAAAGGGATTTAGGGATTAACTTTTAAAAAATTGAATGTAGTTTTTTTTTTTTTATGTGAATGGGCCCTTTAAGAGTTCGTTGCTTTTGTAAAATTCAGGTTAATAAAACAATTAAGAAAATCTATCTTTAAACAAAAGATGCAAATAAATGGCAGGCGGGTTACAAACAGTCATCCAAAGAAAAGCAACCCCAGACCTTCTTTCCTTTGGTTTTTTTGGTGGGGTTTCTTTCTAATGTGCATTTCTGTGTCAATCATGCCCCGTGGAAACTATCAAGTCATTTTAATAGAACAGCTCAGTTATGCATTTTGCTTTTATTCTCTTTTTGACCTGGTTTATGACTGTCTCAATTTTTTTTATGAAAAAAAAGATACATTTTAACACATTCTATCTATCTAGTTGTAGTTTTGATCAGAAAGGCATTGTTTGTCTCTCATCATTGCACCTACAGGGCTTGTTTTATGTCCATAAAGAGAGCTGAGAGAGCCTTTCAGGGGGACGAAGTCCTCCACAGAAAACCTTCTCCAGTATCGATTACACTTCACAATACCCCTTTTGTTAGTGCATAATCAATACTGAAGTAGGGCTTGCACAGATGGCCTTATTCTCAAAAAGCTCCATTCAGCAGCCTGCTGTGGAGTTAATGCCTATAATTTGAAGCATAAGTTAATTTCTGTGATGTTTGCGTAAAAGAGAGAACTCTGACACCAGATGGTTATATAAGATACTCCACCATTTATTAAATGTACAGAAATACTGTTCAAAATCCACACGAGTGTTAAAGGACAAAATCCTTCATCCAAATGTAAACAAAATGAGTGTCCCATAGTACAGTGTGCATAAAGCAAATGCTGTGGATTAGCAGTACTGTCGGTTTGAACCCCATTATGCACAGCTCGCTGTAATAGTCAGCGTTTTCCGATGCCGTAAATGGCGTCTAAGTGATCGCAGTTTTGTAAACATTAGAACTCAACACGGGTACAGCCGAGGCGATTCATTTGCACTACCGCACATTTATCCAAAAAGGCCTGTTGGATGAGTAGGGTTGTGGCTTTTATAATGGGCACCGTACTGGGCTGCAAAAATGACAGTGTTCTAAAGAAATCATCACAGAACAACAGAGAGAGAGAGAGAGATACTTCATAAACATTTCACAGAACATACCGATCAAATCTATCCAAAACGATTTTTTATGGTCGGCTTTTTCAGTCGGATGACTTTGCAATCACTTTAGCGATTAAATCAAGACAACACAATAGTTAAAGCATCGGGGACAGTTGTTTCAGGACATGTCGAGGCATTCAGGGGGTTGGTTTCTTTCCACTCCATACGTATTTACAGAAATACAAACCTGGTATATCAAATACATCCAAATGAGAAGAGTTTAGTAAACGTTACCAAAAGTTGGTCACCTCCGATGTCGCTGCGCAGGCCTATTCACAAAACAACACGCTGAAAAGTGCTTATCTGTCATTGTCCAGGGAAAACAGGACCGATTTACAAAGGGGAGCACGACTATCCGCCACGGCGGTAGGCGTGGGGACAGACACAGCATCTGCAACTGTAAACATTCAAATCATAATGGACATTGGACCTCAGTTATCAAATCCGATTCATGGTTTGGGTTTAAATATTTCAACATGTATGGGTTTCTATGTGAAATAAAAAAAAGATTTAATGTTATAATGCACCCAGCCCTTGAATGAAATATTAAAAGTCATTCCTTCCTGCTGATGGAACAGTTCTGTGCTGTTTTAATAATGTGCTTTTCAGAGTTTTTCAAGGTTTACAAAAAGAACAGATTATTGTGATTTTATGCAAGTTATGATGGATAATACAATCAATGAAAATGGGTTAACATTCTGGTAGCAGGAGGTTAAGGTCATTCAGAGAAATACACACAATCTAAAGTGCTCATCCTGAAAATCTAAAAAAAAATCACCAGAAAATGTAGAGATATAAATATAAAAAAATACCAAATAATATATATTTTTAGCCCTTGTGGAAAATGTAGGCAGGATTTTCATGTTGTCAAAGACACCTAGTTAACAGAAATGGTTGGTTTATGAATGAGGCCACACAATAGTTTAAAACATTCTCTCTTCTATCCAACTCTTACGGAAGAGGATGAGGGTCACTGAAATTTTTTTTTTAAATTTTATTTCAGTTTAACATGGGAAAAAAGTCAGAATTCTGTCTTTTTTTTCTCAGAATTCTGACTTTTTTCTGAGAATTTTGACTTTTTTCTGAGAATTTTGACTTTAATTTCAGAATTCTGACTTTTTTCTCAGAATTCTGACTTTTTTCTCAGAATTCTGACTTTAATTTCAGAATTCTGACTTTTTTCTCAGAATTCTGACTTTAATTTCAGAATTCTGACTTTTTTTCTCAGAATTCTGACAGCTAACAAACATGTTAGCATCAAGCCATAGCCATGTCTGTTTTAGAGACTAGCTCTCTGGTTTTTAATGACCTTCTGCTCCTCCATTAATGAGGGGACCCCTCAGGCACGTAAAAAGTTGCCTAATTCCGTCATTTTTCACCAATGTGTCACTGGCCACCTAAAACAACTCACATCTTTGTCAGTGAAGCTGGGTGCTCCCACATCTCTTCCTTCATGGTGCCCATCTACATTAAGATTCAAAATTCTGAGATTAAAGTCAGAATTCTGAGAAAAAAGTCGTCAGAATTCTGAGATTTAACTTTTTTCCCCATATTAAACTGAAATAAAATTCAAAAATCAGTTTACTTTTTTTTTCAGTGAACCTAATCCTCTTCCGTAAACTCCATATCAGCCATTTAAAAGAGAAACCTGCGCTTCCAGTGTAAGAAATTCCTTTTTCATTCAGAACAAGAACAATCTAATGGTGATTGATTCGTTACAGCATTGATTTTTATGCAGATAACATTCAGTTATTTGTAATTTCACAGGTATAAATGTCAAGTATGGTATAGCATGTAGATAACAGGTAATTCTATGTGTATTTAAAATGCATTTAACAGTAGCTAATTAAGTCACCTTAACCATGATGGTTTATGTGCCATAAAGAGTGAAATCATATTTCACAAAACCTGTTATGAATAAACATATTTTCCAGATGTTCGAATAAAACCAAGAATTCCAGTCTGTATTTCCTTTTGATTAGGGTGTTTTTTTATACTTTTTCCATAAATGCATAAAGGCAGGAATGTCTAAATAACCCAGTTAATTTTCACACTTATTTAAACGTGTCATGGGAAAACAAAAGGAGGCACAAAGTGGAAGTTCTCACTGCTGTTGTAGATTGTAACCCACTCTGGCTCAAAAGTTTAAAGTCCTAGAGAACAAACCCTTGGTGGAAGGTCAGAGATCTGACCTGCCTTAAACCATTAATCTTGACCTGTCTATTTTAAGTTAACCAAAAAAGATCAACATGGTGGCTGCACTGCGCCACTTGTCCTGGATTTTTCCTTTGGAAATTCTCCAACAAGATAATCACAAAGACCAACATTAGCTGCTGCTCCAAAACCACGTTACCTCGTGTAAGCCAGATTAGGGATCATGGGTCTCAAAAGTTCTGTGTAGGGATGACAACTTTGATAGGCTGCATGACATCATTGTATAATTTCCAGACACTTCCTTGTACTTTATGGTTATTGTATTCAAACTGCTCTGTTGTACTAACCTGACTACAAAGTCAACAAGTTTGTTTAACAAGAACAGCAAGTATCTTAAAGGACAAAGTTGGAGAGAAATAAACAGCAGTGAATCATCTGCATATAGGGAAAGTTTTATGCCACTAAACCATAAAATGTTTAAGGTAACACAGTTTGGATGAAGAGTCCAGTGTATAGGCAATACAATAATAATTTAATAACCTGTGCTATGGCTCCAGGGATGAAAGAGCAGTTGATAAGAGAGGTCCAATGTCTGGTTATCTGCTGAGAGTCATGAGCAATACCATTAGAGCTAAAGAATATTTACACAGTGAACGTGAAAAGCTGGTCTGGAGGCAGAAAAAGAGTCACTCCCCAAACATACAGACACCTATTCTAAACTCCAACTGTCTCTCAATCAAAGTAAAGGTTTCTCACTTCAAACTATTTCCCTTCCCTGTCCTCTAAACGGCCCGGAGTAAAAATATAATCCAAGGCTTGTCTCTCTGCAGCAGCCACATTGGGATGCCACAGATCCACCATGAACACCACTCTGGGGCCATCATCTGGGCTGCCTGCACACACAACATCAATAAGAAAAGCAAAACAATGACTCTTATTGGAAGGTTTTCTATTTCTCTGATTGGACAATGCCAGAGTCGATCTCTTCTTACCGTCATGGAAAGCCCTGTGGAGGAAGGAGTCGTCAAAGAGCAGACAGCTGCCCTCAGACCAACACTGTGGTTCTCCACCAACAACAAGCTCACAGGAGGGAGGCACTCTGAGACCTGGTAGAGAGAAAATGAAAGCTTTAACCAATGGGTCAAATGTTATGCCCTACTATTTAACTAGCAACCATAGTGTCTGCAAAGAATAAATAGGACTAGCTGCAGTCGTTTCTCAGAGAACGATTGGAAAAAAAGCTAAGCTCAGGTGCAGAGATAATGACGTCTGGCACATTTCACTCATGTGCCTCCATTACTCAGGAGAGTTCAGTCTAAAGAGCTAAAGCAGCTGATTTACAATATTGGCTTGTTTTTTGTTTTTAAACACCATCTTCTGCTGCAGCAAGGTAATCAGACTTGGATACTTATTCATGTACGTTCATTTAGCCCTCTTACCCAGGTGGCAGCGCAGTCTGACGTTTGTTGGGCCGTAATGTTCTGTAATGAGAGCTCCAGGCGTCAGCACAGAGAAGCAGGCATTTCCAAAGACGTTGTTGGCAATGAAGGTGCGCAGCTGACCCAGCACCCGCCACGCCCGCGGACATCTCCTGACATTAAGGACCAAAGGGGTGCCTTGGTTTACAAGGTAGTAAGTCCACCATTGGCCTCGAGGCGTGTTGTTGGCCTTCCAGCCTGGTGGGAGGGAGGAGCCGCTGCGGGCCGGCGGTTGGTGGTAAATGCTTTCAAATTCAGCCAGAAGGGCAGGGAAGCTCTGCTCAAGCAGCTCCACATCATGTCTCTGTACTTCTCTGGAGAAGAAAGGGGCCGAGGGTAGGTCGGGGAGAAAGAAGACTTCCGGTCTCTGGATAGTTGGCCGGCTGTTGAGGTACCGACCTTGATCGCGGACTCCTTTGTGTACTCGGCCCATACCCGACCAGGTGTAACGCTTGGCATATTCCTGCAGGCTGTGGTAGAGCCTCTGGTTCAGGCTCTCCCCGGCGCTGGTGCATCGGAAGCACTCTGATGATTGGCAGAAAGCAAAGCCGTTTTGCTCTTCCAGAAGGGATCCCTGTTTCCCTTTCCCTCTGCCCCGACAGTCCGAACTCATGAAACCTCCAACCACCCCTCCGATCCGCCCAGGCCCAGACAGATACCTCCCTCGCAACGGGCTGGTGCCGTGCTCGCGGCCCACTCTGTAACAGTACCACATGAACAGCAGCAGCACACACACAGCTATGGCACAGGCACAGATCTCACATTCCCTGACAGACTGCATCCCCCCAGCCACCATCTCCCTGACGCTCTCCAGCGACCACTCCATCCTGCCTCTGGGCTGATGAATCCTGCAGTAGAAAGTGCTGACGGCGATCGGTTAATGTGTCTCTGCTTGATTGTGACACCAAACACGGGCTGTTATGGAGTCTGGTGTCAAGTGGCTCTTGTCGCCGCCGCTGATGTAAACAGTCTGCTGATTTGATGTGACACTCCTGCTCTTCTGGTCTAGCATTTCAGCGCTCTGCAGCGAGGGCAGGTTTCTACATGCATGGTGTCTGGTCTGCTCCTCAGCTTCTTCTCTCTGACAAATGCAGACATCCCAGAGACCTCACCAAGGTGATCTGTTCTCTGCAAAACAAAGACAGACAGAGAAGAAAAGGGATAAAGAGGATGTAACATTTCACTGTGTTGGAGTTTGCTAAGATGGGGTGGTTTTTATGGCTTCTAAACCTAAAAAGCTTCACATCCTGCAGTTCCTACAGCTTATATCACATAATGAGAGCTCAGAGAAAGCACAGAAGAGAACAATGTTTTCTTTGGTATAAAACAGTTCAACGCTACCCCTCCCCCACCTGCTGCTAACTGCTGATTATCTGGCTTAAAGAAGGCTGCAGCCATTTCCCCATTAAAAAATATACACTTGCTTGTTTAAAACAAGCACTATTGCGGCAAAGACACCTGAAGTGCAACATTCATCCATCTTATCAACACGCAGTTGATTTTTAATAGAGGAGCTACAAGCTGCATGATGGTTAAACAGCTGACTGCTGTGTGTGAACTCCAGCAGGTAGCCCACCCCAACTAATTACTCAGCTAAAAGGGAATAGAAATAACCTTTACTGTCCCTCAGAGGAGAAATTCAGCAGGATAGGGAAATGTAATTAGCAGAAAATGCAGCTTCACACAAGGATCAAAACCGAAAAAACAAAGAAAGGTGACTGGGCAGTAAAAGCAGATGTTCAACACTAGAAAAAGGTAGCATAATAAAAATTAGAGGAGATTGCAATGAGTAGGGGGACTTTTAAAACCTGCTAAATGTTTTTGGATATATATGGAGAAAAAACTCCTATGCTGTCGTCAAAATTTGTGCAGAGGCAAGTAGAGTACCCAAGAATTGTACTAAAGTAAGAGTAGAACCACATCATCATATGTTACTCAAATAAAAGTAAAAAGTAGTCGACCAAAAAACAAAAAAAGTAAAAGTAAAAAACGTAAAACAAAAAAAAGTATTTGGTAAAAAGGCCATTTCAGTACTGAGTAACTGATCTACTTACTAATTATGATCTAAAAAACGGATTTAATATTAGATTAGATTAGATGAGCTTTATTAATCTCACAGCCGAGATATTCACTGGTCACATATTGGCATAGTACTTAAAGAAGGTGCAAACAAGGAGGAAAAGGTGCATTAGGAATTAAAATAAATAAAAATAAAAAATACAAGGGAGTAACACAGAGATGTGAGGTGACATATGTACAATCAGGATGGCTTATATACAGGTGGATTGACTTTTACGTTAAAGTGTAGTAGGTAAGGAACAACGGTGAGGTAGTGGTATGACTATTATATCCACATATATTGCACATTCAGCATATTGCACAGAATATTGCACAGTCAATAAATAAAAAACGAATATATTTGCACAGTGGTTTTTACAGGAGTTATTGTGGTTATAGTGCATTATTATAGAGTCTGGTGGCAGCAGGAATGAATGACCTGCGGTAGCGCTCCTTCTTACAGACAGGGTGTCTAAGTGTGTCTTTTACAAAATTATTTAAAATTAAACTGAATATAAAGTTAGGTGTAAATTCTGGTGTTTAAAAGAATGAGATAAAAAAATAAACATTTAACATTAAGTAGTTACCAAATATGTTTAGGTGGAGGAAACACTTTAATACATTACAAAACTTAATAAATCAATAGTTACAGTATGTTAGAATGGGGTAAATTACAGAAAACCTTTTACTGCACTTTTAATTGTTAAAATGACATGACAGCCTCAGCAGATGGAAATAACATTAAACCAATTAAACTTAAGTACAAAGAAAATAAGAAATTGTCTCTCAATGGTGCAGGTTTACTTAAAACAAGCTGGTTTTTAGGTGTAGCAAGACATTTTAGTTAGCTGAATAGAGATACTCAATCATAGTTTGCTCTGGTAGAACTGAAAAGTACAACTATTCTTAAAAGTTAACTTTTTTTTTAAATCTAATTGTTACTCAGGTAAATTAAACTACTACCCACCTATGGTTTTGCTTTATGACACAATGGAGTAATATTCTGCACAAAGAGCACCTGGAAACTAATACTACATGCAAAATTAGTTTATAATCAATAAAATCAATGAATCTAAATTTCTGTAAATGAAGATTTCTTTTCCACTAATGCATTTATTGGGCTTCCAAAGCTCAGGGTGACACCAGTCGATCATGTTTTGTTCCTCCAGCTACAAACATTTATTTTATTTTATTTTTATTGTTTGCTGTAAAACTTACTTTAGAAGCATTTTCACAGATCAACTTTTGTTGCCCTTTAAATCCAGGTCACCTCGCAAAGGGACCAATGAAATAAAAGGTAGTGGTTGAAATGAATATATGTCATTCCTCATCTTTATTTTGAACCTTAACAGATTAAATAAAGTGATTAATCGGATTTCATAGGAAAGGAATTGGACATTAAATGTATAAGCCTAATATTTAGCAGGAGTTTATCTAAAGAAAATAAATGAATATAAGAGATACTTTTTTCACTGTAATCAATCATGAATAGATGCTCCAGTTAAAGGTGTTAGAGAAATGGAAACAAGAAATAACAGCAGTTAAATCTTGTTAGAGATGGAATATTCAACTGTCCTGAGATCAGAATATGCAGATTTTACCTTGATAAAAAAAAACATTATTTTTAATATCTTTTTATGACACGCATCACTATTTCTAAGTCTATAAATCCATCAACCAGAAGCAGGAATGTAGTTAATCTTTAATGTAGGGCTGCAATCAATAATTATTTTGCAAATCTAATAATCTATTGATAATTTTTTCACTTTTATTGAACGATAATTGATTGCAAAAGGTTCCTTAAAGAACAGTTTTTACTAAATTAAACCAGGTGAAACTAAAAATGTTCCAACTGAGGAGTTTTGGATAGAGTAGGCTGACAGGCGAAAAAGTTTTACTATCTTAAATACAAACATTTTTATATATTTTGATTTTTATCTTTCTGTATTTATGTATTTTTCTACAATTTTAGTATAATTGCTGCTGAAGGCGGGTCGCTCTGTCAAATAAAGGCATTGTTTAGATTCTCTATACTCCAGTAAATGTTTAATCGATTACTAAATTAATTGATGATTAATTCAATAATCGATTAATCAGATTAATTGTTTCAGCCCAAATTCTTGATGCGATTCAAAACAGATGAGGCCTCAGAGACAACAGGAAAACAGTATGGGAGGAGAAATGCTTGATCCCTCCATCTTTTTATATATATGCCTCATTTTCACGTGGTATTTTCTGATCTCTAGTCATCTGAGCATTCCGGCCGAACATAATGCAATGATCCTTTGGTCTGAGCATAAGTACCCATATAGGTCTGCCTCTTTATGCTATAGGGAAGCAGATTGCCATCTTGATTCACTGCGTGTAATAAACACCTGCAGGACCCGAACATGGCTGCACATACACACAGAGCAGAAGCTGGAATCCAGCCTTCCACACATTCCCCTGTGCTGCACTTTATAAAGCCATGAGTCATGGGCACATTGCTGCATTTAAAACAAATCTGCTTCTTTCCTGTTTCTGGGTACCACACACACACACACACACACACATGCACACAATTACATAAACGTAAACACAGTTGAAACCCACCCACATTTATAATTGGCATTCATAGGTTGCTCAGCAGGAGCTGCATAAATGGCTCCTAAGAGAGAGAGAGAGAGGGGGGGTTGGGGTTACTTGTTAGTATCATAAGAAGGCTGCATTACATGAATGTGATTATATAATGCTGATGGACCAGCAGCCACAAGGCGAGGAGTGCAATGCGTCAGCTGGGATCAGAAGTCCACGATGCGCTCTCACCAAAAATGGTCCGGTTCTCCTGCTCCAGCAGATCCACCCCTCCATCCTGCCTGACAGCATGAGGACGCCCCCACACCCCACGCCTCACCACCCGCAACCCAGCTCCTGTTAGGTGAGATAAACCCAACAGATGTGCCTCAAATCCCCCCCAGCCTCAGTGTTTCATTTCTCCACAGATAATCCTTTTCTTTTAAAACCTTCAGAGATACAGCTGCTGTTAAACTAGAGAGAAAAGGAGCTGATCCATTGGTAAACAAGCATCCAGCTGCTGCGTGGATGTGGCGCTGCGCTGCTCCTGCATCCCTACCTATTCAGCGCGCGTTGCTGCGGCCGCGCGGCGCACGGCAGAGGCGCGCGGCTGTTCCTCCCGGCTCCTCTGCAGTGCAAACAGCAGACGGGTATCGCTCACAGACATCACAGGAAACCGCTCCAAATCACACAAAGACGCACGGAACCGGGACTTCCGAGCATCTATCGGAAGGAAAAACATCAAAGTAAAATAAAAATAAAAATATGTATTAAATTTAGCCCTACCGACGGGGAGGAAACCCTGTCCGGGCTGGACAGCACAGACGGAAAAGCCTTCAGAAAATATTGAGGTAAATACTGACGTTTCTCTGGGGAGGACACCCAGAGTCCAAAATGATGGGGAATGTCCACAGCTGGTTCCGCTTTATCCTTTCAAAATAAAAGAGACATTTCATTCTTTGGAAATATCAACAAATACGCTGAAAAATGATCAAGAAATGAGTAAAAAAAATCTCTCCTTAATTTGAGTAGGTAAATAAGATAATTTGCCAACAAAATGAGTAGTTTTGCTTTTAAAATAAGATAATTAGATAATATGCACTTGAAATAAGACAATGTCATTGTTTTTTTTCTTATTTTAAATGTATATTGTCTTATTCCATTGGCAAAGAGTCTCACTTACCACCTAATTTCAAGAAAAAATGCACTTATTTAAAAAAAAAAAATTTAACATTTTGTAGTCTTGGGGGAAAAAAAAACAGGCTTTCAGTTTATTTATATATAAAAAAAATTGACTAATATTACAAACCAGCACTAGTGAGCTTTTACAGTAAAAGGTAAAGCAATGAAAAAAAGTATATTTGGATTATTAAACATCGTTTTGAGTTGCAAACTTGCTGCTGCTACATCGGAAAAAAAATCTAAATCTAAATTAGTCGTTTTTTTCTTAAAATAAGTGCTGTTCTTGGATTTAGGAGATAAAAGAGACATTTTGCTAATGGAACAAGACAATTTACATTTAAAATAAGAAAAGACAATAGCATTGCCTTATTTTAAGTGCATTTTATCTAAATATCTTATTTTAAGAGTAAAAATACTCATTCAATTTACAAATTATCTCATTCACCTACTCAAATTAAAGGTATATACACTTAATTTAAGACATTTTTACTTATTTCTAGAACAATTTTTCCAGTGTAATATGCTGGTGAAGTTTCTTAGTTATCCAGGTCATAGTCATTCTAAAAATAAAAAAAAAAACAATCCACTGGACTTTGTTTCCAAGTTTGAAGACGTTTTGCTTCCCATCCAGGAAGCTTTTTGAACTCAAAATTTCAGAAATAGCATTGAGTTTGAGGCTTTATAGTGTGGACCAAAAACAAAACCTTGTTTTTGCTTAGAAAACATGCAAAGTAAACCAGATGAACAGGTCCACCCCTTTAGAATCGGGGTTGTTTAGTTTTTTTGTTAGCCTGTAATGCCACATACCTGTCAGTCTCTGAAAAGGGGGTTGTTAGGGGGAATTGTTGATCTGGCTCAGGTAGGTTCAATTTGCATGTTTCTAAACCATATCAAGGCTTTGTTTTTGGTCCCCTCTATAAAGCCTCGATCTCAACCCTATTTCTGACATTTTGAATTCAAAATGCTTCCTGGAAGGGAAGCAAAACATCTTCAAACTTGGAAACAAAGTCAAATTGATTGTTTTTTTATTTATTTATTTATTTATTTATTTATTTATTTATTTATTTATTTATTTATTTATTTATTTATTTTTTACTTTTTTGGTATTGCTGCTGCTAATTTGCTAAATCATGGCTTTCTATCTAAACCGAGTCTAAACCAGAAGAGTGATCATCATAGAAGGAGGCCAATGGAGGAGCTGCAGAGATAGCAGCATAATCATGTTAAAATGACTCAGTTAAAGATAGATATAAAATTGTTCTTCACACAAGCTTTCAACCCAGCAAAAAATATGTGTATTTAGAACTGAAAGCTGGAATAATTTTAAGCTGTTAAAGGTTGACTGAGGAAGCCTCATTACTAACATATTTTAACTACCTTCTTATTCATTATTTTATTTTCTTCAATCAAAAAACTTGAGTGATAAGATCTGGTTTTGGTGCAGCTCATTGTTCCCAAACAAGCTCAGAGGTTTTACTTTGAAGGTAAAGTTTTTCCATTTCCTATTTTGCAGCAGAAATCTCTTCCGCATATCGGCTGCAGACAGCATTTCCCAAAATGCACCGCGGCCTGACCGCTTTCATCACAGCCATCATCATGGGCAGAGTTCAATGCAAACACAACAGTAGCTGGAGGCCATAAAGACTCTTGGTTTTAACTGAAATTCTGTTGCTGGATCCATTAAACTTTACCTGGAAAACAAAATAAAACTATTAATCTACAGAAAAATAACCTACTGATTAAAAAACATGGAAAAAACTGTATCTCATAATGCGTTTAATTTGTTTTGTTGATTTATTTTGAGTTTGGACTAATATTTTACTGCATCAAATTATTCTCTCTGCTCCTTAAAGCTGTTTTTGATTCATTTAATTTGAGGTTTATAATAGTTAGTGGGCTAATCATTTTATTATAGCGCTTATTCATAGTCGATGTCACCTTAATGTTAAACTACATGAAAAAATCCATTCCCAGCTATGTGAAATCCAGGTCCATCAATACAGCTAAAATAACGATGATTAAAAACAGTTTAATTCAATCCAATTACAATGACGTCACATTAAAAAGATTCTCACATAGCAGTTTTAATAATTATTTAGATTTCTTTATTTCAATTTTTAGCCAGCGAATAATACTTTGGTGGCTTTTTTCTGCAAAATAAAAAGAAGAGGAAAAATATTAATCAGCAGAGTGTGTTCAGGCCTTCAATGACTTTAGGTTAAGAAAATGATCTCAAGCTTGATTTATGTTTCAGTTCTTAACTGCTGCATAAAACTAGTAAATATCTGAGCTCAACAGCTCATATTTTAGGCTTATTTAAAACATCTTTGTATTGTTATTTCTAAAATATAACTACATTTATACCAATACGATAGATGCAAACAAGCCTTGACCTTTGACCAACATTTGCTTCCTAAATTAGCCCAGATGTCTGCTTATGGTTTAAGGAAAATAAGCTAGAAGGCTAACTGTCAGTAAACTGAGTAAACTTCATCATTTAGGTGTTTTTTAAATAACGGCTGTTTGATTGGACGTTTTACTTTACTTACATTTGAGCACAGAGAGTTTTATTTTCTCATCCTTAGTTGCTCCAAACTGGCTTCTATATATATTTCTAATGACGTGGTGTAACAGCTGCAGTGGAACAGGGAAAATGTGAGTGGAAAGAATCTGTCACGTTTGTTTGTAGAAAAGCACTGATAGCGACATGAAGGAAGACGGAGGGCTGAGAAACATTGCAGATGATGGATCATATTCTGTGATGCGAGACATTCCTTTCCTTCCCCTTTTATTAGATTTTAAATGTATGTGATTATGTTTCAGGTTCTGTTTTAGTTTTAATGATATTTGATGTTATATTTAATGATATTCTTCAATGCTGTTATTAATAGCAGAGCTCTAAAACTATTCAGCTGCTTAAGAAGGACTTCTGTTTAACTCGATTCAGTTTATTTATATAGCGTCAATTCACAACACATGTCATCTCAAGGCACTTTACAGACAATTCAACCAGATTATACAGTCAGATTGGTTCAGTTTTCTAGAAAAATCAGCCGATAGCATCAACTTTTGACTCGACAGCAGTCAATGACCAAAATGAATTAGTCTATTTTAAGAATAACAATAAACTAATTCAGTATTTTTATGTTTTCTATGCAAACACAAGGAGCAAAACGGAAGATTAACATAGTTTTTGTATCCATTGTAAAGAATAGTTTTTAAAATGTAATTTGTATCATTTAAGGTAAAAACTTATTCTTTCTTTTTGTACTTCTGTAGTAAAAAAAGTATGTTGTAGAACCTGTATATTTTTACTTAAATGACTTCAATCAGTACTTTTATTTTTAACAGTCTTTTATTTTGAAACAATTATCTATAATTTTACTGACGTAAATATTTGGGTTCTGAGCGCCTGTGCTATAATAATTAGCTGGATTAAGAAAATCAGTTTGATTAAAAGTTGAACAAATAATCAAATTTGATTTTTGCTTGTTTCTTTAACCTAGCAGTATACAGGTGTAATTCTGCCACTACTGCTTCCACCTCTGGACTAAATAAAACTAAAATTATGAATTAAAAGCCTTCATACATCTGCAGCTCCTCCCCCTGCCTGTCATAATCACTTCCCTGTCTGTTTTTTATGCGCTGCATTCAGTCAGTCAGTCAGATCATCAGCCTGTTTACATTCAAAGAAAGCACATAATATTAAAGGTGAATTTTGCAGAGACATGCTGCAGTGCAGTGACTCAGCGGTAGATGGCGCCATTGCTGCGCTTCTATGACCCAGCATCATGAACAGGCTCCCAATCAGCTAAACACGTGTTTTGGTGATAATTAGTGATAATAACAGGTGGGGAGGGGGTTTCTTTTTAAAGGTAATGTGAAGATAATCAACTCCAGGGAGACTGCCCCATCAAATGTGGACCCCCACCTGCTGAAGTCCTGCTCCCAGACCTTCACTCTGACTTCATGTAGTTGGCTTCTGCATCACAAACCAACATTGTTTCTTTATTTCTGCAGAAGTTTTCATGAGCCTCTTGTAAAATTCAGTAGTGTGCAGATTTGCATGAGGCAAAGGTTTATTTGTCTTGTTTTTTTTTCTGGACACAATGCGGTGCTTCATGTTCAGCTATTTGAAGAAGTATTCACGCCATTTTTATTGTTTAACTGTGAAATATTTCAGTTTTATTTTGTAAAATAATTAACAAATTAAATGTGTGCAATGGTAAAGAAAGACATGCATCCTTTTCCTCCCACTTTATATCCATCTATGCAGGTAGCAAATAGGTCGGTGTTCCCGGCCATGAAGATACCCCCCAAATTAGATTAGATTAGATTAGATTCAACTTTATTGTCATTACACAGGTACAGGTACAAGGAAGCGAAATGCAGTTTAGGTCTAGCAGCAAGTGCAGGATGAATAATGGTTCCATAAGTACAGGGCATGGGTTTCTACTGAATAAATATAGAGATGAATACCATTATAAACAGAATTTTACTGATAGATTTGTCCAATTTTTATTTTTTATTTATTTTTTTTATTTATCATTTATTTAACCAGGTAATACCCATTGAGATTAAAAATCTCATTTGCAAGGGAGACCTGGCCAAGATAGGCATCAAAATTACATCACATCATTACATACGTACAAATACACACACATAATAGCCAAATATGTACTTACAATAAAATTTCAATTAAAACATTGACATGTGAGGGAGTCCAACTCAAAACAGCTCATTCTCAGCTTA